ATATACACACACAAAGTCTTGTATTTCCATTTGTGCTGTTTGTTAGTGTACATAATATTTTCCAGAATTACTAATAAAATATCCTGTTTCATCAACGTTCATTACAGTTAACAGTGTTTCTGCTTCACCTGTAAACTTACAGTTTTGGAGATTTGTTTTTTTTTTTCCACAGTTATCATTCATGTGTGTGTGTATATATATATATATATATATATATACACACATATATATATATATATATATATATATATATATATACATATATATATATATATATTATATACATATATCAGGATGTGTCTGTGAATCTCTCATCATCATGTAACTGATAACGATGTAGAAACAATGATCAGTATCTGTCTTACTAATCATTCTGTATGTAGACTGATATGAATTATTGACAAATTAATGTTTTCTGTGTTGTAAACTGTGTGGTGGTGCTGCTGTGTGAGCACAGTGTTGAATTATGGGTAAAACGTGTTCCAGGCTGCCTGGCTTGTGTGTGAGTGATTCAGCACTGTAATTATTAATATTAATATTATTATCATTAATAATACTGGTGTTGGTGCTGATACAGGAAGCAGAATGAATGTAACTGTGTTCATGGCTGTAGAATTGCAGGCAGATGAATTATGGGATAGCTCCAGTTTCCGAACAGGTGCGCACAGGTAAGCGTGTTCATGACTGTGACATCACAGATATACTGAATGTGACGTTTTAAAACTTCATCAGTGTTTACACACAACATCAAACCCTTTCAGTTACAAAAAGACACATTTCACCAAAAATAAAACCAATGGGCCCCTTGATTGATTAATTAATACAAAATATAATTAGAATGTGTTGATGATATATCATAACACACAGAGTAAAGACTGTATTTATAATTCTCTATTTAATTCATTTGACCATTTCAGTGAATTTCACTGTCATTTAAGAAGTAAACTGTAAAATATATATATATATATATATCGCTCTACAGCAAACAAACTATTAATAAAACAGTAAATAGTTCAGATCTTCGCTATTTACAGTGATTCTGTTCTGATCTGTTTGAACAATAAAGGCATTAATAGAGACAGTAATAATCTAAATATGCACATCATCAATTATAGGGCTCTTTCTGTTGGGAGGAGTCTGTCCTGAACCTTAACCTCCAACTTCTGAACATGATACTTACATTTTATTTGTATTTTTTAATCATTTTTAAATACATTGTTGACAGATTTAAAGTTGAATTTTTAAATGAAAAAAATAAAATTCATAAATTACGTCACTACCGAAACAGAGTTTTAGACTGTGGGTGAAGCCTTTTTTAACAGACACTACTGAAACAGACACTACTGAAACAGTCACTACTGAAACAGACACTACCGAAACAGTCACTACTGAAAGAGTCACTACCGAAAGTCACTACTGAAACAGTCACTGCTGAAACAGACACTACCGAAACAGACACTACCGAAACAGTCACTACTGAAACAGACACTACTGAAACAATCACTACCGAAACAGTCACTACCGAAACAGTCACTGCTGAAAGTCACTACTGAAAGTCACTACTGAAACAGTCGCTACTGAAACAGTCACTGCTGAAACTGTCACTACCGAAACAGGCACTACTGAGTCACTACCGAAAGTCACTACTGAAACAGTCACTGCTGAAACAGACACTACCGAAACAGTCACTACCGAAACAGACACTACCGAAACAGTCACTACCAAAAGTCACTACTGAAACAGTCACTACCGAAACACACACTACCGAAACAGTCACTACCGAAACAGACACTACCGAAACAGTCACTACCGAAACAGTCACTACCGAAACAGTCACTACCGAAACAGACACTACCGAAACAGACACTACTGAAACAGACACTGCTGAAACAGTCACTACTGAAACATTTGGTCAGTTTGGGTAGTTATGATTGTTTTGGTAGGGACAAAATGGAATTTTTGATCATTTATTTTAATAAAATAATCATAATTAAGGTTTAGAGTCACTCAGAACAAAAGGATTTGAAAGTCTAAGATCAGTTAAAGTCCTGAATGTGTTTCAGCTCTGACTCTGAACCACTTCAGAAGAATCATCTGTATTACATTATTTCATTATTTCATTACTACATTTCTGCCTTTGGCACATTTGCTTATATATTCACTGAGTGAATGTGGAGGAAATTAATTAGAAATCAGACCTTGAGATCACTGTGGTGAAAACTGTCTGACTGAATGTCTGCTGAAGTCCTAACGCTGCTGACCTTCACACGTCCACTCCATTCAGCCGCGGAGAAAGAGTTTAAATCACAAACACAGCGCAGCGTTTTAAATCGTCCACGTTCACTGACGACCTACACTTTTCAAACTCGCCTACACAAAACTTCTCCTGGGCTTCGGAACCAGATCTCACCCTCACGTCTGCCAGAAACTCATTTATTCATCGTTTGAGGGACGAAACTCTACGTGTATGTATGATTGGTCAGTCTATGATTGGTTGGTCTGTGATTGGTCAGTCTATGATTGGCTGGCCTGTGATTGGTTAGTCTATAATTGATTGGTTTGTGATTTGTTAGTCTATGATTGGCTGGCCTGTGATTGGTTAGTATATGTCTGGTTAGTCTATGATTGGTTGGCTGTGATTGGTTGGCCTGTGATTGGTCAGTATATGATTGGCTGGCCTGTGATTGGTTAGTCTATAATTGATTGGTTTGTGATTTGTTAGTCTATGATTGGCTGGCCTGTGATTGGTTGGCCTGTGATTGGTTAGTCTATGATTGGTTGGCCTGTGATTGGTTAGTCTATGATTGGTTGGCCTGTGATTGGTTAGTCTATGATTGGTTGGCTTGTGATTGGTTAGTCTATGATTGGTTGGCCTGTGATTTGTTAGTCTATGATTGGTTGGCTTGTGATTGGTTAGTGTATGATTGGTAAGTCTATGATTGGTTAGTCTATGTCTGGTTAGTCTATAATTGATTGGCTTGTGATTGGTTAGTGTATGATTGGTTAGTCTATGATTGGTTGACCTGTGATTGGTTAGTTTATGATTGGTTGGCTTGTGATTGGTTGGTGTATGATTGGTACATCTATAATTGGTTGGCCTGTGATTGGTTAGTCTATAATTGATTGGCTTGTGATTTGTTAGTCTATGTCTGGTTAGTCTATGATTGGTTGGCTTGTGATTGGTTAGTGTATGATTGGTTAGTCTATGATTGGTTGGCTTATGATTGGTTAGTCTATGATTGGTTGGCCTGTGATTGGTTAGTCTATAATTGATTGGCTTGTGATTTGTTAGTCTATGTCTGGTTAGTCTATGATTGGTTGGCTTGTGATTGGTTAGTGTATGATTGGTTAGTCTATGATTGGTTGACTTGTGATTGGTTAGTCTGTAATTTGTTGGCTTGTGATTGATTAGTCTATGATTGGTTGGTCTGTGATTGGTGGGCTCCCACCATGTTCCTCCCAAAATAAAACCAACTAAATGACTGAATAATCTCCCAGATTGCTGTGAGACAGAGTTGGCGATCCTGTCCCAACACCTCCGAATTCATGTCTGCACCATATCCGGTCTGTCCTGGTTCAGTGCTAAAAGCCGTTAGCCGTGCTGGAAGGTCAGGCAGGCTGGGTTTATTGGGAAGCGTGTGGCGATAGCAGCCGCTGTCGCTGTGGGTAAATAGGTGCTGTTAGCTCAGCAGGAGGAGGAACAGCAGGGGAACCCAACACTGATGGAGTTGTTTTCCACTTTCTCACACTTCCACACCGGCCGAGCAGCTGGAGAACTCGGAGAGGGAGCGCGAAGGACGGAGGAGGACGACCACGAAACCCACTTTTCCCACATTTTACCTTCAGCCGCTCAATACATTCTGACATTTACCCGACTAAAAATACGGCTTAACACCAACCTTCAGAGACCCTCACGCTGGCGCTCGCTGCAGAAGATCCAGAGGTGGGACCACTTCATGATCCTCATATTAACCCAACATTGATTTAACAATCCAGCACTGTTTTTACAGCCAGTGGAGGCCAAAAGTTTCACTCCTCACTTTTTCTCCTCGTGTTTCTGTTATAACTTTATTTATAATCTTACTTTTCTCTAAGTTACTCATTCTGACCATCATTTCCAATTTATTTCATTCATTTGCTTCTCGACTTGACTTATTTTCTTCTGTTACGCTCATTTAAAGTCATATATTCAGTTTATTTGGCGTGCCCTGCTTATTGGACTTTTCTTTTTCTTTGGGTTTCTTGGGTTTTTATTCATCATTTTTTCCTCTAATCTTCCTGTGAAGCTCTTTCTGAACGTTTTAAAAGGTGCAAAATAAATAAGAAGCAACATTATTATTAGTAGTATTATATTAATAATGCATATGGCAGCTGTTGATGTGATGGGTAGGTGTTTTTCCAGAGGTCTTCAGTGCTGTGAATTATGGGTGTATTTTAGTGTAATAGAGTTGTGCTGCTCTTCTAAACATGCTGTAAATCTGCCTCCAGCAGTAAAGAGGTCTGTCTGGAGTTAATGGTGTGTGATATTAACCCGTTTAGCTGCCCGTCAGTGGACGATGATGCTGCTCCATCTGGACAATTCATCATTGTTCATAAGCATGAGTTTAACACTGACTGGTGCTGTTTTGTTTTTGTCCACTGGGGAAAAAGTAGCACTGTTGAGCAATAAAAATGCCCATTCAGTCTACAGTCAGTTTAGCCCCACCCATTCAGCCTACAGCAGTTTAGCCCCACCCATTCAGCCTACAGCAGTTTAGCCCCACCCATTCAGCCTACAGCAGTTTAGCTCCGCCCATTCAGTCTACAGCACTTCAACCCCACTCATTCAGCCCATAGCAAAATAGCTAATATTAGCTAACTCTGCTAAATATCCCGCTGGTTTGTGCTGCTGTGAGTAAAAAACTGGACTTTTGACTGTTGAAAAAGTATAAGACACGCAGCGCCCCCTAGTGTGCCGAAGTAGCAACTGCACAAAGTTAAAGCCTTTACTGCTTCAGCGGTTTGAGGACCAGTCTGTTTATTAGAGATACGTTAAAATGTGCATTACTGAAGGAAAGTGTGGTTTAATCATTGTTGCACTTTTGGATTACAGGAGTTCTGGAGGAGAATCTTTCACCTGAGGAGAAAACGATCTGTAGAAAATCACCTTTAACAGGTGTGACCAGATACATACATACATACATCAGCCGATCATCAGTTTAATGCCTCCCACTATAAACCCAGAATAAATACAGAACCCATACAGTCTGTTAAAGGACCTCAGATAAAAACATCTAGAACATAGTGTTTAATTATGTAAATCTAGGTACATAGTACCAAGAAGGATTCATAAAGCAGATTATGAGCTTGAAAATATTGCATTTTGCTCTTTCGTCTTTAAAAAACGCTGACTGAAGTGCTCTACAGTTCGTTACCATGGAAATTCTACGCTGTATAAATATGCGGTACATCGTCGGTGTTAATGTCTATAAGAGCGAACAGGTGTTAATTTAACAGAAGGTAGAATAAGCAGATTTTGTTGGATCATTTTAACGTAAGCGGTGGAAAAATGTCCAGTGCAGAAGGTTTTTTTCTCCTTTTCAGGCCATTAGCGTCTGACACGGTCATCCATAACCTCAGATTCATCTCGGCTGACCTTGTCCAGAAGACAGAAAGCACCAGTATAGCCCACATGTCCAGCTTTGCTGTTAGAAAACGTGGCATAGAGTCTCTATCTTCCAAAATTGGGGGCAAATGAGTCTTCAGACTGGGGCACCCCCTAGGGGCAGGGGTTACAATGACAGGAGCAACAGTGTAAACGTGGCAGTCAGGACCAGTGGGACACTCAGGACGTTTCTGAAGATTGAAGAACCTGAAGAACCCGAGGAACGTGTCTGGCCAAAGCCTTTAGTGTGTGGAGGATGGTTCCTGTGGTTACTGTTCTTCTCTGGAGTCACTGGAAAAGACAAGAAACAAGTAGCTTATAAATCACTTATTCATTCAGCCTAATGAGAAACTGTAGAACAGACTCAGTTTATATCACAATACCTACATTTAGAGTCAGTTATTCATTCAACCTAATGAGAAACTGTAGAACAGACTCAGTTTATATCACAATACCTACATTTAGAGTCAGTTATTCATTCAACCTAATGAGAAACTGTAGAACAGACTCAGTTTATATCACAATACCTACATTTAGAGTCAGTTATTCATTCAGCCTAATGAGAAACTGTAGAACAGACTGAGTTTATATCACAATACCTACATTTAGAGTCAGTTATTCAGTCAGCCTAATGAGAAACTAGAACAGACTCGGTTTATATCACAATACCTACATTTAGAGTCGGTTATTCATTCAGCCTAACGAGAAACTGTAGAACAGACTGAGTTTATATCACAATACCTACATTTAGCCATAAATCCACTGGTGCCTTTTTAAGTAGATTTAAGGTGACAATGAATTTAAGGTATCAGTAGATTTAAAGTGGCAGTGGATTTAAGGTGGAGGTGGAGGTAAGTGGCAATGCTTTTAAGGTATCAGTAGATTTAAGGAGGCAGTGCATTTAAGGTGGCAGTGGATTTAAGGTGGCAATGGTTTAAGGTATCAGCTAAGTTGTCTATAATGCTCCTTTAACTGCTACTGTACAGATGCAGGAGAACGGGCTGAACACGGAGAGGAATGTTCTCCAGCTGCAGAGAGAACACGTCTAAGTGGTTTCCCACCACGGTTGCCAGACGCTGCGTGTTTTCAGCCAACAAACACATGCCGTTCTCTCCGAGGGTCGGCGCTCCGCTGGGGCAGAAATGCGCCGGTTTTGTTTGGATATCGCGCATATTTTCTGACGCTCTCGACATTGTTATTCTTGCCGAGCGCCTCCTCGCATTTCTTGGCGTCGGACTGTTTGGGATTATTTGTTTTAGCTTTCGGGAGATGTTTGGATTTCTGCAGCCATCTATCATCCAGCCTGAGGGACCGTCAGGAACCCAGTATCTGCACAGAACCATCACACAGCGCTAGATGACACTGAGGGGAGGAAAGGAACTCGGCTGCTTTGGAGTTTAATCTGCACCAGTGCTGCACATTCCCACCCGAAAGCTGGAGCAGCCCTGCAGCTCGCTAGCTAAACGGATCTTTACAGAACCGAACCGTCATTCCACACAGGAACACGGCGGTGTGAGTCACTCAGTCACCAAGCACTACTACATCACCAGTAAGAGCACCAGAGCGGACACTAGAGCGGTGTCGACACGTAGATCCACATTTATACTACCTCTTAGCGAAGAGTTCACTAAGGTCACTTCAGCTAGACAGTGTGATTAGCATGCATGCTAGCACAAACCCATCCCTAAGGAGGAAGAACCGCTCAGAGCAGAGATTAGGAGAGAAGACTGTTCTAAACATCAGCAGGAGAAATCTATAAAGATCACTGGAGACGTTAGCAATGAAGATTTTAGGGTTCTAATAAACATCAGCATTAAATTAAAATGAAATAAATATTTGTGGAAAATTTAGGAACAGAAATTTTAGGATTGTTGTCAACAGAAATTCTAAAGTGTTTAGAAACAATAGAAATCTACACGTTTAAGATAAGACAGTTCCAGTAGAGGAGGTAAGACAGTTACAGTAGAGGAGGTAAGACAGTTCCAGTAGAGGAGGTGAGACAGTTACAGCAGAGGAGGTGAGACAGTTCCAGTAGAGAAGATAAGACAGTTACAGCATATGAGGTAAGACAGTTCCAGTAGAGGAGGTAAGACAGTTACAGTGGAGGAGGTAAGACAGTTACAGTAGAGAAGATAAGACAGTTACAGCATATGAGGTAAGACAGTTCCAGTAGAGGAGGTGAGACAGTTACAGTAGAGGAGGTAAGACAGTTACAGTAGAGGAGGTATGACAGTTCCAGTAGAGGAGGTGAGACAGTTACAGTAGAGGAGGTACGACAGTTACAGTAGAGGAGGTAAGACAGCTCCAGTAGAGGAGGTAAGACAGTTACAGTAGAGGAGATAAGACAGTTACAGCAGATGAGGTGAGACAGTTCCAGTAGAGGAGGTAAGACAGTTACAGTAGAGGAGGTGAGACAGTTCCAGTAGAGGAGATAAGACAGTTCCAGTAGAGGAGGTGAGACAGTTCCAGTAGAGGAGGTGAGACAGTTCCAGTAGAGGAAATAAGACAGTTCCAGTAGAGGAGGTGAGACAGTTCCAGTAGAGGAGGTGAGACAGTTCCAGTAGAGGAGGTGAGACAGTTCCAGCAGAGGGTCCAGCTGTTTGAGGGCACCTCCGCATGGTCCTGCTCCTTCTCTGACCTGCCGTGTCCTCAGCATTAGCCTGATGGTTTGAGGTTGGATTAGCTTTACTGGGCCTGTGGCTCTCAGGTTCACACCACGTCACCGTGCCACCAGCGCGCTACTGCAGCTGGTCAACACCGCTGAAGGCATTAGCATGCTAGCTCTTGCTAGGCCGAATACGACGCCGCGCTCGGGAGAAGCCGGCGCTGCCTCTCCGAGTCAGAAGCTGACGGAGCGTGCGAGGCTCTGTCGGAGGGATTTGTGTGTGTGGACTGAAATTAACTGGATATCGATCCGTCCACAGCGGCCGTTTTGCAGGGTTGCTGGGAGAGACGCGAGAGCAGTTTTTGGCAGCCGCTGTTCTGCTTCATCGATCTATAAGCGGCTTTGGAGCAGCACCTCCACACGGCCACCAGGAACAGACGTCAGGGTGAAAAACACCGGACGGGTCAGTAAAGCACGGATCAGAAACAACAAGGTGTGACCGCGCTGTGGCCCAGCGCTGCTCAGGTTCACAAACACTCTGAGAAAAGGACAAAGACGAGCTTTTCATTTCATTGGCTACACTGAAACATCAGCATCTGCATCAATTAAACATCTGGTGCAGAAATGCTGAGCCTGAGGGAAACATCAGCAACAGAAACATTCAAATTACTAGAAACGGCAGAGGAAACACTGAGACTATCAGAAACAGTAGCAATAGAAGTATAAAGATTAGTGGAAACATTAACAACAGAAATCAAAATTAGTGGAAACAAACTAACAATTAGTAATTAAAGTAATAGAATTGCTGGAAACTAACGATAGAAATTCTAATGTTGTTGTAAACAGCAGCAGTAGAAATCTGTAGATTGGTGAAAACACTAGCAATAGAAATCTAAAGATTTATGGAACCATTAGCAATAGAAACTCTCAGATTAGTGTAAATATTAGCAATAGAAATTTTAATATTGATAAAAATTAGCAATAGAAATCTAAAGTTTGGTGGAAATATTAGCAAAAGAATTCTTAAGATTTGTGCAAACCTTAGCAACAGAAATCCAAAGACTGGTAGAAATCTTTGTGCACTCTCGTGAGTTTCCCTCGTGAACTCTCTTGTGTGTTTCCCTCGTGAACTCTCTCGTGAGTTTCCCTCGTGAACTCTCTCGTAAGTTTCCCTCGTGAACTCTCTCGTGTGTTTCCCTCGTGAACTCTCTCGTGAGTTTCCCTCGTGAACTCTCTCGTGTGTTTCCCTCGTGAACTCTCTCACTAGTGTACTCCATAGCTGGAATTGCTCCCTAAAACCGCGTTAGTCATAATCCATCTCTGTTAGCGTGTGCTGGACGGGTTTGGATCGTGTTCAGGTTTCAGATTTAGCAGTACCAGTTGGGCCTTATCGGGTCTCTCAGGTTTGGGTTGGTTTCAGAGCTGCGCTTTCGGGTCTTGTACAGTTGGTGAGTGATGTGCAGACAGGATGCACTGACTGCATTGTGGCCTACTTTACGCTGCCTGAGCTCCTGCATGTAGAGGAAAAGAACCGAGATTGGTGGAACGTGTCCTGGTTCAGTCTCTAGGGGTCTGAATCTGACCCCGTTAGCGTGAGGAACATCCGAGAGATGCCCCGCTTCAAAAATGATGACGATCAGGAAAACTGTGCTAGCCGCTAGTAGCTCTTGCTAACACGGTGTGAATGCAGATCGCGGGGAAGACGCGGCGTCTCCGTCAGCCAAAATTTCTCGGACTGTCTGGAGGCGCTGGATCAATAGCGCTGAAAGTGGATATTCAGCTGACTGCGGATTAAAGTTTCATGGCGGCGTTTGTTCGGACGACCTCTTTCAGAGGTGAGCGACATGACTGAAATGTGAAAACTCCCTGCGACGCTGGGAAAACCAGACTAAAATATGCGCTTCCCGGAGATTGAGAGGCGACGTAGGGCCGCCTTTCATCACCTGATTCTCTACGGAAATGCAAATGGTGTTGCTGTCTGCACAAACACAGCGCTACACCGATCTGGAGCAGGTGGATGTCAAGGCCGGATTAGATAAGGACCTCCGAGAGTAATGAAGGATCAATAGCACAGAGAAAGAGAAACAGGGACATAAACAGCGAGACAGCAGGCTGGCAGGGAAAAGCGCTCCTCTCTGCCTCTTTTCTCCAGCTGCAGCAGCGCGACATCTTACAAACAAAAACAGCAGCACAGAAACTCAACGACAGCTGAAAACAACAGAAATTCAGACTCACACAAACGTCAGAGATAGAAATCTGAAGATCGTTAAAAACATCAGAGATAGAAATCTGAAAGATCGTTAAAAACATCAGAGATAGAAATCTGAAGATCGTTAAAAACATCAGAGATAGAAATCTAAAGATCGTTAAAAACATCAGAGATAGAAATCTGAAGATCGTTAAAAACATCAGAGATAAAAATGTTAAAAATGTTAGTGATAGAAATCTAAAGATCGTTTAGAATGTCAGTAATTAAAATCTAAAGATCGTTAAAAGTGTCAGTGATTAAAATCTAAAGATCGTTAAAATGTCAGTGATTAAAATCTAAAGATCGTTAAGTGTCAGTGATAAAATCTAAAGATCGTTAAAAGTGTCAGTGATTAAAATCTAAAGATCGTTAAGTGTCAGTGATTAAAATCTAAAGATCATTAAAAGTGTCAGTGATTAAAATCTAAAGATCGTTAAA